AACAAAACCTTTCATCATCTCCTGGGTCAACCAGGGGAAATAATATTGTACATCAGTACGATCAGTACAATGTGGGACTCAATCCATAGTCCCTCTCCCGGATGAGAGGGTCTCCAGTTTGGGGCAAGTAGAGACCCTCTCAGTGGCTACTCAGAGGAAATCTCTCTCAAAGCATGCACGTCCTGGAAAGGCCTCATGAAGTTCAGCAAAGAGGTGTGGACGTTGTGGCAAAGCTGCCTCTGTTTACGAAATGTCATTTCTCCACCAGTCATGGACTTGAATTTGAGCTTTTAGGGCTGCTCGCTGGTTTAAATGAACTGCTCCAAAGCTGGCACCTTCTTAGTCGTGACCTTGGTTCCTGACCTCACTGGGGCCTTAGGAGGAAAAGTGCTCCCATCCCAGACTCTGATGGCAGGCTCCTTATTGCTTTTGTGGAGCGGACAGCCCTATGGGGGTGTCGGCTTGCGGTCTGAAGGTCATGATAACGCCTGCCTCAGGCTCCCCCTGCATCTCTCAGCAGCTTCACCACAGAGAAGGGGGAGGCTCAGTGATCCTGAGCCCCAGACACGTCAGTGAATGACGCGGATAAACTAGGAGAAAGTCTTGGCCTGAACCACGGACCAAACCCGCTGAAGCAAGGTATCGAGCATCACTTCTTCCCTGGGATTGTAATGCAGAGCCAGGCCTCTAGTGGACTCGGAAGAGAGTCGTGGGGACACAAGAGTCACGGAAGAATGTTCCATGACCTCTTATAGTAAATGGAAACCAAGACATTATAAAATAGCTGGTGCCTGGAAACACAGTACAAGCATATTGTTGGCAAAGACACAAATAGACATTTGGACTATTAAATAATTGTTTCTCCAAATGGAGCAACAGTTGAGAATGAAGGTAGATGCTTCAGGGCTTGAGGCGGGACCATGTGGAGGAGGGTAAGCTTCCTAAGGGTTTGTATCCCTCACAGGACAGCGTCGAAAAGGGACCAAAAATTCTATTTTGAGAGACTGGGTGGCGGTTAGAATTTCCAAGTCTTGGGGTGCCTGGGTGGCTCAGTTGGCTAAGCATCTGACTTTGGCTCAGGCTGTGATCTCACGGTTCATGAGTTTAAGCCCTGTGTTGGTCTGTGTGCTGATAGCTCAGAGCCTAGAGCTGCTTCGGATTCTGTGTCTCCTTCTCTCTCTGCCCCTCCCCCACTCGTGCTCTGTCTCTCTCTCTCGCCCTCAAAAATAAACAAACATTAAAAAGATTAAAAATAAAAAGAATTTCCAAGTCTCTGGAAAGACTGTGGTCCTACAGATCAGCTGGGACATAATAGCACTTTAGCCAAAGCCAAGTTCACACCAACAGATCTGTGTGGTTGCCCTTCTGGGGGCCACATCCAGAAGTATGCGTCTGCAATACTGGGTTTTGGCAGGGGAACTGATTTCAATACCTCCGCCTCCTTTTTCTCATCCACCAAATGGGAAGACCCCTATCACCTTGGTGTCCAAGACATGGTGAGAAATAGCCAGCAGCTGTAATGAGCCTTGGAAGAAAATTTGCAAATGAATTGTCAAAATGCTCGGACTACAACAGATTTCCCCAGACAAGAGGTCCCCCAAAGTGAGGGAGTGAGTCGCCTGCGCAGCCCGCTAGTGCAGAGCTGGACAGGGTGCTGGAGCCGCTCGCCATTTTCCTACCTTCCCCATGTGCTTTTCTGAATGGTGTCACCATCTAGGGTTGATTTATAGCCCTTGGGGTGGCCAGCAAGCCTGTGCTATGGTAATGGCAGAGGCTGGGAACCCATTCTGCGCCGTTCTGACATCTACAAAGGCGAGATCATTTGCAAAGTCAAAACCATTCAGGGCACACCTAAGGTGCCCCCGGGAGTGCCTGGGATGGATAATGAACCCAAACTCACATCCTAGCTTGCTCACATGACAAATCGCCTGATACAGGGATGACGACAAATGAGGACAGGCTATATCCCCTCTGTGCACATTCCGGTTAATTTCCCAGAAGCAAACACAAGTAATGCCGGTTCCAAGCGTGGAGTTGTCTAGGGTGACAAATGACGAGGTAGTGGGTTTTTGTGCCTGTGTTGCAGGGGTGGGGGAGGGTACCGAATGTGGAGGTCAGGTTTCTGGTTTTTGCTGTGAGTGAGTGAGAAACAGAGAAACCCCCCGGAAGGGCAGGAAACCTCCCCTCCTTCTCCCGCAAAGATGAGGCTGATGCCTGAAAGGTGTTTAGTATGCTAACAAAATGCTGCATGATGTGGCTTTAGAGCCTCGACTGAATTGATAAAGGAAATCTGGGCCCTCCCGCTGTGCTCAGCACCCCATGTCGTGCGGAGCAAAAGCAGCTAATATATCACAGAGCCTGATGAGACTGGGGGTGGGGGGTATGGATGGATGGACAGACGATGCGGGCTCAGAACCACCAAGGCCTCCGGGCCCTAAAAAGTGACGCGGTCTGCCCCCCCACCGGCTGGGTGATCTGAGGAAATCTTTGCTTTCTTCTCCTGGACCTTGCCGAAGGAGAGTTTCTAGTTGACGAATCGCTTTGCAAATGTGATTTACGGATGCCATTTACTGCAAATGTGCTGTGGCTGAGACAGAGGTGCTCTTACAGCAAGGGTCTTTTTAGGCTCTGATGCAAAGATGGGCACTGAGGAGTTGGGAGGCGCTGGGACTGGGTGGGACAAGTCACTGCCAGGTGAGGGTTTGAGGAAGGACGGAGCTGGCCTGACGGCTCGGCCACCGTGCTTCCCAGCGCTCCATCTCCAGGATGGTCCCCAGGGTGGGACCACTGTAGATTTCGGGCAGACACTGAATCTATGTTAAGTCTGTGCTTACTTCAGACACCCCCACAACTTAATCACCACTCCCACACAGCTAGCATCGAGAGAAGAAAACTAGAACTGAAGCAGACGCACGTCTGCAGGGAAGAGGCGTGGGGGCAGGAGGCTGGTGGTGGAGACTGCCCGACGTCACCTCACATTTAATTGAACAAGTGCCCTTGAACGACTAATAAACACAATTCTTGATGTTTCCCTAATTGTTTACAATAAAATTGACTTTTAACAAAGGGAAGTTACTTTATCTGAGGTAAAAGCAATTTCGCATGCTTACATTCACCCAACCCCCCCGTCACTGGTTCAACAAATATTTACTGAAATCCTGAAGGCATATCACTCCACAGAAACAATGTGAGAGATACAGAAGTAAAACATGTACTCAGTGACCTCATAAGATGGTATGTTGGATTTTATTTACATCATGATCTTACTACCACCCCAATAGACATGGTTCCCTTTGTGTGGACAGGGAAGGCAACTGAGACCTTTCTTTTTTATCCTTTTCTCTTCCCTCTTCCATCTCTTCCTTCCTTCGTTCCTTCTTTCTTTTTTAAAATATTTACTGATTTATGAGAAAGAGGGGGCGGGTAGAGAGAGAGCGTGCGCGCGTGAGCACGAGTGGGGGAGGGGCAGAGAGCAAAGAAGACACAGAAACCAAAGTAGGCTCCAGGCAGCACAGAGCCTGACACAGGGCTCAAACTCAAGAGCCGTGAGATCATGACCCAAGCCGAAGTCGAACACTTGCCCGACTGAGCCACCCAGGCGCCCCCCTTCTTTCTTTTCCTGTTGAGTTTATTCAACTGCAGAAATGATACCAAATAAAACTTTATAAACCTTCAACTTGAAATTTTTCCTTATGGAAAAGTGTCCTCACAAGGGCTGCGAAAACCATGTCTGGCTTTATCCAACTAGATTTCCAACTTTCAGGAGTTGAGACAGATTGGATTATACCTGCTCCTTTAACTCCTAAAGTCAGTCTACACATGGTCCACCGGGTGCCGACATCACTTTAGGGCAGAGAAGAAGGAAGATACAAGGATTCGTCCCCAGTCTCACTCATTGTCGAATAAATGCCCCAGCCTGACTTATCTTTTTCCTCCCACACAACAGTGACTTACACTGTGCATGATTTTACAGATTAAAAAAAAAAGATTCACATACATTTGCTTAATCCTCATGGCAACTCTATAAGCGTTATTCCCATTAAGTAGATGCAGGTAGGCTCAACCAGATGATTGTCATTAATTATTGGCCACCACGTTCTCGATTTTACATAAAACTTTCACACGCATACCATTCTGAGGCTCATATCCTTGTGATGCAGACAGGACATGCAGTTAGAACTGTCAGTCTATGGTGAGTGAAGGTTCAGATGATAGTGGGGGAGCAACCAGACTCTGGCAGGGGCCCAAACGGGCAGAGAGCACCCACCACCATCACCATGCTGTCCAAGGGCAAAGCTGAGTTGGGTGATAGTAGAGACCGGTGGCTCCAGGCCTGGGTCACTCATGGGCACAGGGGACATGGCCGGTCTTTGGCTATTCCAGACTTAGGAGTGGCTCTAATTTCCTCCTCATGGAGCATAATGGGAAGAGGGAAAGGATCTTGGAAGCAGAGTAAACATTTGCAGGAGAGGTGGGTGGGAACTCCCCAAGCTTTAGGCAGATAAAATATGGGTTTTCAAAGGTCCAAGCAATACTGGAGGGCACACTTACACTAAACAATTATTTGTTGTTTATCTGAAATGCAAAATTTCCTGGGTATCCTGTATTTTTATCTGTTAGATATGACAGCCCTATTCTAAGGGAAGGGTGGTTCAACCTTCTGCCCTTTGCTCTCATCACTATGAGGCACCTGTGTGATGGTGACCATCATTTGGCAATGGTGAGTGTGACAGGGCACCCCAACTGAGATAGTGCCCAATTATCTGACTTGAGAGTCAGCATTGGAGTAATTTAAGTATTTTCACAGCTTCTGAATTTGGAAGGTCATGTGATACGTGCTCATTAGCGAAGGCTGGTTTGGGCACTGAGCTGTAAAGTGGTCCATCCAGACGGTCAGGCTGTCACGTGCCTCTCCAGGGAGGTCACTGGACCAAGGGTCCCACACCCAGCCCTGGCTCCATGTTCACCCCATTCCGTTCAGCCAGCAGAAGGTCACTTACTTGTAAGGGATGTGTTTGCTGCCGTTGACAAGAGCCAGGATGACATTGCCCAAAGCAGACAGTGAGAGGCACAGCCCTGAGCCTCCTTCCCGATTCTTGCTAAGAGCTTTCACACAGCTGCCGAGATCAATGAGGTGCAGGCGGCTGCGGCCTCCAGACACTGACATAAGACAAGAGAAGAGAGAAGTGGTTAGGTCCCGGCAAACACTCGTCTGGTAAGCACTGGAGCTCCTTGGGAACTCGGAGGGAAAAATAAAAGGGGAAGTAAAAGGTTAACATACGACTTAGTAGGAAACCCCAACAAAATCATGCTAGGTTGCAAACAGCATGGTCCTCCTTAAATTCTGTGCGCTGCACATCACTGACCTAAAACCCACTGACATCCCTCCTCTAAGAAATGAATCATTCTGGAATGTTGAATTGGAGATTTCAGAGAAGGTGAATGTCCAGTAAGAGGACAATAAGGTTTCACCTACATGTCCTCTGGCTAGAAGAGCTCTGAAACTGACTGAGTTGAATCGAATAGTCCAGGAGTGATCATGTGCTTTGGCTGATCAGCATAGAGACTCTGACCTAAACCTCAGCCAGGAATCAGGTTGATAATCCAGGGTAAAATCAGGAAGAAGTAACAGCCAGGTGCAGAGACAGGGAAAGACCCAAGTATTTGCCGAGTATCTGCCAAGTGCTGAGAGCTGTATAAACATCAGTCTCATTCAATTTCCACAGCAAAACCATAAGCTAATGACTCTTGTCCTTTTTAAAATATAGATGAGGAAGGGGTGCCTGGGTGGCTCCATCCATTAAGCGTCTGACTCTTGATTTCGGCTCAGGTCATGATCTCATGGGTTCATGAATTTGAGCCCCATGTCAGCCTCTGTGCTGTGTCAGTGTGGAGCCTGCCTAGAATTCTCTCTTCTTCTGTCTCTGCTCCTACCCTGCGCATGCTCGCTCACTCACTTGCTCTCTCTCAAAATAAATAAACTTAAAAAATATATATAGGTGAGAAAACAGAAGTTAAGAAGTTAATCAGCTTGCTCATTGCTTCCGGCAGAGATGAAATAACAGGGACCAGACGGATTGTCTTACCTAAGAGCAAACAAAATGTATAACGCAACTATTTGTAAGACACCAGACATTGGACTGTCAAGGCCAGTTACCCTGGGAGGCGGGGAACATAGAAGGCAGCACTACCTGTGTGTCAGCTTACTGCCTTGAGAGAGAGTTTCCGGGATGTGCCACAGGGATGGGGAGGAATGTGGTAGACTACCTGCATCAAGGAGAAAGAGCAGAGAGTCCAGGGAGACCAACACAGCAAGAGCTGGCAGGACAGAGTACAGAGAGAAGGGAACTTAGGGTCTGCAGAGGCCCCTTCAAATACTGACCTGAGTACTGGTCAGCACAGGCATGTGAGGGAACCCCGTGGCTGGGGAGCTAGCCACCTGAAAAGATTCGAGGTAACAGTGCACAGCACTCACATGAGGCCAGAAATAGTGCCTGTTCCCAAGAGCCGGACTAGAAACCTCAGTGTTCACAGGGCCCCAGGTAGGGGACCCAGGAGAGCCTCACAAGTGGGGAACGCTTAGCCCTAAAGTAGCACTGACCAGGCCCCAGCTACCAAATCTTAGAAGCAAGACCAGAAAAGGTCAAACTGTTTACAAATAACTATATGCCAAAACAATGCTTCAGGAGATTTACAAAATGCAGAGTGTCCAGCATCTATCAAAAATAAGCAGGCATGCAAAGAAGCAAGGAAATGAGACTCATAATGAAGAGATAATTGAAACCAAGAAGAATTGACTCGTAGAGATAATAGAATTGACTGTGAAGGACATTAAAAACAGTTATGGCAGGATTTCACATATTTGAAAAGTAGTGACATGGGATATATTAAGACATAAACTGCAGCTATGTGGAGCTGAAAACTACAATGTGTGAGTTGAAAAACACACTGAATCAAGAGCAGGGTAGACATTACAGAAGGAAAGACTTATACATTTGAAGACTGAGTAATTGAAACTCTCTAAAATGAAACACAGAGAGAAAATGTAAAGATAAAAACAGTTTGAGAAAACTATAAACCCACAGATCCAAGACGGTCCATGAGCCCCAATCACAAGATACATGAAGAAGACTACACAGAAGTGCATCCTAACCAAACTGCCTAAAACTGCTGATAAGGAGAAAAATCTTAAAAAACAGCCACGGGAGGAAAGCTGGTTATATATAAAGGACCGAAGACAAGGATGATGGCATTTCTTGTCGGAAACCATACAGGTGAGACTGTGCAGTGACCTTTCTAAAGTGCTGGACACTGTCACCCTAGAACTATATGTCCAACAAAAGTCTCACGCTAAGACAAAGGGAAATAAAGGCTTTTTCAGACTTCAAAAAGCTGAAAGAGGGGCGGTGCCTGGGTGGCTCAGTCGGTGGGGGTCCGACTCTTGATTTTGGCTCAGGTCGTGATCTCATGGTTGTGGGATCGAGCCCCACGTTGGGGTCCGCACTGAGCATGGAGCCTGCCTGAGATCCACTCTCCCCTTTCCTTCTGTCCTCCTCTGCTCACGCATGTGCTCGCTCTCTCTCTCTTAAAAAAAAAAAAAAGAATTTACCAAAAGCAAACCCACAAAATGAGCCGTGGAAATGATAACTTCACCAATAAATATGCATTTTTCCTTACTTAAATCTCTTTGAAAGATAATCAACCTGCTAAATCAAAAATGACAGTGTAATGTGTGGGTTAGAACATGTGCAAAATTTAAAAGTTTGACAATCACACAGAGTTTAGAAGTGAAGAAATAGACGAGTGCCCTATTGCAGGGTTCCTATTCCATACAGGAAGTGCTAGAAGATCACGTGAAAGAAGACTCTAATCACTTAAAGGTGTATACCTTCAACCCTAGAGCAATCAGTAAATAGTGAATAACTATAGCTAATAAGCCAACAGAGGATACAAAGTAAAATTATTAAAAACACTCCATAAGTCCAAAAAAGGCAGATAAAAAAATTAGTAAAGGAAAACAAAGAACAGACAAGTTGAATAGAAAACCTATAGAAAAATAATAATTTGGACTAAACCATGTCAATAATCACATTAAGTGTAAACAGTGTGAATAGTCTGATTTGAAAGGTAGAAAATGTCAGACTGGATAAAAAAGCAAGCCTAACCATATGCCGCCTATGAGAAATGCACTTCAAATATAAAGAAAAAAATCCATTAAAACTGTAAGTGGGAAAGGCTATATGCCACACAAACAGTGGCCGTAAGAGAGCTCAAGTGGTTATATCAATGTTAAATGAAAGAAACTTAAGACAAAAAATGTGAATAGAAGCAAACAGTTACATTTCATGAAGAGGATTCCGCAAGAGGTTCTAACAATCAAAAATACTTATGCATTTAATAACAGAAGTTCAAATGCATGAAGCAAAATCTGATAGAACTATAAGAATAAGTGAGCCCATAAGTATAGCTGTAGGTTTCAAATAACCCCTTCTCTATAACCGATACAACGAATAGACAGAAAACTGGTCAGGACAAAGAAGACTTGAAGAACACTGCCAACCAGCTTGTTGTTCTTGACACTTACTGAACATTCAACCCAACAACAGCAGAATACATATTCTTTTGAAATACACACAAAACATTTCCTGAGATAGACCATATTCTGGTCCATAAGCCAAGTCTAAAATTTTAAAGGATTCACGTCAAAGTATGTTCTCTGACACAATGGCATTAAATTAGATATCCATACAGAAAGATTATCTGGAAAATTCCCAAATATTTTGAAACTCCAAATATTTGGATACAGCTCCAAATAACCTATGGTCAAAGAAAAACTCAAAACAGAAATTAAAAAGCATTTTTAAGTGAATGAAAATGAAACACAGCATCTCCAGATTTGTGGGATCCCTGAAGAAGGACAGAGGAGGAAACTTACAGTATTAGATGCCTAGATTAGAAGACAACAGAACAACAGAGTCTCAAATCAATGATCTCCGCTTCCACTTTAAGCAATAAGAAAAAAATGAGCAAATTCAATAACAAATAGCAGAAAGGAAAGAATGAACACAAAAGCAGAAATCCATGGAAGAGAAAAGAAGAAACAATAGAGAAAATCCACAAAGCCAAAAGCCTCAATAAATCTCTAGAATGATGGATAGGAAAGGCCGAGAGAAAGGCACAAATTCCTAATGTCGAGAATGGGAGATGTGGTCTTGCTACAATTTCTACAGATATCAAAAAGATAATCAGGAAACGTCACATCAGTCAATTAGACAACTTGAAAGAAGAGGCAAATGTCTTGAATGATAGAAAGTACCGAAGCTCATTCAAGAAATAATAGTTGACAGATCTGTGTCCATTAAAGAAATAGGATCTGTGGCTAACAACTTTCACAGGGAAAATTCCAGGTCAAACGGCTGCACTGGTGAATCTAAGCAAACACTGAAGAGATGAGAAAGTATACGAATAGAAAAGGCTATGTCAATTCCACACAAATTCTTCCTGAAAATTAAACAGGAGGGAATATTTCCAATTTATTCTATGAGGCGAGGATTACCCTGATATCAAAACAGACAAAGAAATTACAAGAACAGAAAACTAAAGACCAATACCTTTCATGAACATGGACACAAAATTTCTGAACAAATTAGAGAACTACATTAAGAAATTGTATCTATAAACATATATGAAGTATTTTTTTTTACCCTAAGTGGGATTTATCCCAGAAATGCAAGGTTGGTTAACAAAACATTTTAATCGATCAATATAATTCACCATATTAACAAATAAATAACTGTATGATTCACTCAGTAGATGCAGGAAAAATATTTAACAAAATGCAACCTCCATTCCTGATAACAATTCTTAGCAAATTATAAATAGAAGGCAATATCTTTAGCGTGATAAAGAGTTTCTGAAAAAATCTACTGCTAACATCATACTTAATGGTAAAAGATCAAATGCTTTCTAAGATCAGGAACAAGACAAGAATGTCTACTCTCACCACTTCTTAAAAAATGTTTTTAATGTTTGTGAGAGAGAGCAAGAGTCCGAGCAGGGGAGGTGTAGAGAAAGAGGGAGACACAGAATCCAAAGCAGGCTCCAGGCTCTGAGCTGCCAGCACAGAGCCTGATGTGAGGCTCGAACTCACAGACTGCAAG